GGGGGGAGGAATTGGTAGTCGTGTGTGAGAGAGACACTCTGTCCCTCTTGTTCGTTATTGCAGCATGCTCGGTGTGGAGGGCAAGGGCTTTGGGGTATTTCTGAAGACGTGGGGCAGGCTTTGTTCCCTCAGGCAGAGGAGAATGTAGCAGCCTGTCTGCATAGTGAATTGTTCCCATTGTTCTTAGTGAATTGCCCCAGGAGTATAAAACAGATGTAAAAATTTTAAAGCTCCTTTACATTGCTAGAGTGGTGTAAACGAGCCTTATTGTAAAGGTCAGTATGGCTTTATACATGCTTATGGTGCTTTAGTGATTAGAACTGGTCTAAATTTTTGGACTGAAAAAATTTCCTATCAAAATGTGCTCCATGAACTGATTGCGACTGAACTTTTTGGAGATGGTCAGTAGCCAGTATAGATTGTGAGTTTGAGTCCCCAGCCCTCACTTGCTCTTCAGTTGCCTGTGATGTAACAATGAGCATATGGCTGCATATATTTGTTGACTAATAATTCGAAGTAAAGGGTCAATACTAGCTATATTACTATAGAAAGAGGGGGTTTGGTGATTTCCTCCAATGCTCCCCACTCCCATTCTCCATCCAGTGTATTGTAGTTTAAATAAATTGCCAAAATAATTGAAACTAGCTGGATTATATTGCATTATTTTGACCAAAAAAAATGCAGAATTTTAAAATGTGTGCAGAATTTTAATTTTTTTGGCGTAGAATTTGGCGCAGAGTAATATATGACGATTATTATCAGGTCCATCCTCAGTCTTTTCTCAAGACTAAACAAGTTTTAAACTTTTCCTCATAGGTCAAGCTTTCTAAACCTTTTATCTATTTTGTTGCTCTCCTCTGGACTCTCTCCAAATTGCCCACATCTTTCTTAAAATGTGGTGCCCAGAACTGGACACAGTACTCTAGCTGAGGCCCCACCAGTGCTGAGTAGATTGAGACAAAAACCCCACGTCTTACATAATGCATCCTGTTAATACACCCCAGAATGACATTAGCCTTTTTCACAACAGTATCACATCCTAACTGATGTACTTTGCACTTCTTTTTATTGAATTTCACCGTGTTGATTTCAGAACAATTCTCCAATTTGTCAAGGTTGTTTTGAATTCTAATCCTGTCCTCCACAGTGCTTGCAACCCCTCCCAGTTTGGTGTCATCTGCAAATTTTATAAGCATACTCTCCATTTCATTATTCAAGTCATTAATGAAAATATTGACTAGTACCGGATCCAGGATTGACCCCTGTGGGATCCTACTAAATACAGTCTCACTGTTTGACAGAGAACCATTGATAACTACTCTTTGAGTACAGCCTTTCAACCAGTTTTGCACCCACCTTATAGTACTTTTGTCAAAACCATATTTCCCTAGTTTGCTCACTGAAGATTGTGAGGTGCTCATATACATCAGTGAGTATGGGGGCCACAGGATAGAACTTGCTAATGTGTATGAAAACTACAAATTGCCTTGTCTTACCAAGGGTTTTACCACACATTAGCTAAAACATGGTTAGAACACACCTTCTTCCTAGTGAAGGTGCACCCTTCAATGGGTGTGTGGGGCTGCATCAGAGGGGTATCTCAGGTGTCAGACACCCCTCAGAGGTAGTTACTATCATTTCCATGGAGAAAGTGAGGCAGTGAAGTTAAAGAAAACAGAGCATTTCAACTTCCGGTCAAAACTAGAGGTGATTTAAAGAATGATGAAAATGGTGATAATTCCATTTTCTTCATGAAAAATATAGTCAAAATTTTGAAAATTTGAAAAATATTGACTAGCTCTGGGCAGGACAATGGGGAAAAGAATAGCCTGGAATTATAGAAATAATCCTTACCCTTCACTGATTTCTTCATTGTTCATATGACTTGATATTTCTGCTATCACACCCTAAATGGTGTGTTTTTAGAACCCTCCACTCTACAATGCAGGGCAGCCCCCGTGAGTCATGTGTCATCCAGCAGCAGCACCACCCACTTCGGTGCTCCAGAGCTATCTGGCTGGCCCCCAACTACTGAGTGACTGAAATTGAGGGGATGAGGAAAAGCAGAAGGTCTTCTCAAGACAGGCACTGCACAGTACTTAATTTGTCCCAGACCTCTGGCTTAGCAGTTCATAGCCCTGGCACTTCTGGCTTGCTGCATCAGTTATGAAAGTAAAACAATTGCTTGAGGCCCAGCACCTTTCATTACAAATCAAGCACTGGCACTGCCTGTTCTTCATGTGATCTTTAGTGAGACAATACAGAACTTTACTCTTGCTGTTGGGCTGAGTTAATGTTTGGGTCACTTCAAAGGCTGAGTCAGATAATGAGATAATGTGACATCCTCTGCAGTGAAAGAACTTCAGCAACTGCTACTTTAGAGATGGAAGTTGAGGGTAGTTCTCATCATTGAATAATGTTGCCTAGGTCTGTATGACCTTGTGGTCTATTATGCATATCAAACAGTGACTGCACCCTATGAAACAGTCCTTCCTTCTTTCATTAAAAGACAATGGGAAGCTTAACTTTTATAAACGAGATCATTTTCTTCTAAACATTACAGTCGTTTCATATCTAAAGGGAGCTTAATCCTCTGTAATTTAGGTTAATTTCATTGTGCTTTACCAGGTTAGGGTTAAAACTCCAAGATTTGCAATTGATTACAAAAAAAAAGCAGCCCCTTATTAAGTCCTAACTGAGTAATTTGCAGCTTATTTCACCCTAGCTAATTAAAATGTAATCAGGATTGTTGGGCAATGTGCATTCTGTCAGCAGTTTTACTTCGGAAAAGAAATCATGCCAAGAAAAAACAAAAAAAGCCTTTCACTAGGAATTGGCTTGATTTAAACTGGCGCCTTAGCCACTGAAACGCTAAAACAAATAAGTTACAACCGACTGACAGTGCAATAAAAAATACTAAGCCCACTCCAAGATAAAGAACTGGTTTTCATGTTTTTCCTGCTTTCGAGACATGTTCTGAGCCGAAGACATTTTCATAGCAAGCACTTTGCTGTTTCAAAATCCAGGACACCTTCAGGTAAAACCTTGGGACTGCACGTGCTCTTTGCCACACAAGCGAATATGCAGGTTCAAATGCTTTCCGCTTGCCCTTTCTTTCTCATATGGTCAGTCATTATAGTACCCCAAGCTCTCCACCTCCATTAAGAGGGGCTATTTTGCATTCCCAGGCTTTTTATTCTTAAATTCAGCTACAGATACTACTAGAAAGCTCCTATTGCAATCGAAACATCAAAACATTTGGGGTTTATTTTCCAATTGAATTTAAAATATTTATCGGTGATCCGGTTTTTAAAAAGCCCAACATTTCATGTGAACTCCTTTGCTCTGGATAAACAAAGCGGCTTTATGCAACTATTTCCCTAGCAGTTTTTGTTTGTTTCAGTGCACTCTAAAAGCACAGAGAGTAGAGAAACACAATCACTTCCCTCTCACCTTTTTTCCCCATCCGTATTTTGGGACATATCTCTACAATGCTAATGAGTCCCTCTGTTCAAATAGGTGGGAGGCCAGTTTATTAAGGGGAGATAGGGCTGTTGTTATGTGCAATTTAAAGTGTTATCACCATTTCCTTCTGGTCGATGCAGTTCAGTCTTTTCATCACCGCGGAACAGGTGGGGAGGTCGGAACGGGAGAGGTAGTCTAGAGGGAAGGTGTGGACTTAACGAGTTGGATACACGATTTCCTAAGAAGATCTCGTCCGCGATGTTCTATATGCTTTTTGACCCACCAATTTAGGTGTGGTTCATTTTACTCCAGACAGGTCTCGACCTCATGCACCTCGACCTATATCCCAATGTCGTGTCCCATTCCTCCCCCATCATCATCATCATCATCATCATTTTCTTCACCACCACGTAGACATTTGTCCTGCATAGCCTGTCGCATAGTTTGTAGTTCTAGTATAATCACCAACTCCCCATCCGGTTTTATTCTGGCAGATCGGAACAGATGCTACAAACTCTTGGCCATCGCCCTTAAGAACGCATCCTCTTATGTTCAAGTAGAACATAATAGAAATCCAATTACAATGCTACAATGAACCGTAATAAACACTTGCTTCTTAACAGCAGAGCAACCAAAACTCAGATCATCTGCCCCTCAGACTTTCTTCAGCATTTAATCCCCTCCTCCACACACACACCCGCAAGGCACCGGTGCCTTGTCCTATTTAGTTTTCACACCGCTCTTAAATCTCCTAAAAACGAGAGACGTGCGCGGTCAGCGAACCATGCCAGAACATCGCCTGCTGCCCGGGCATGAATTCAGGAGCCCTCGGAGGCTCTGGGCTGCAAGTCCTGTGTTGTCAAAGTAACTATCAGAGACAGAAGTGCAAAGCAAACTGGGCACCTGTGAGAGGGAAGAGAGCCGCCCTGCCTGCATAAGTCACCTTCCCCTGGCACAAACTGCCCGCTTCAGTGAAAGAACCCTGCCAGCAACCCCTGCACAAACAACCCCGGCTCCAGCAGGGCGAGGACATTTACAAATGCAATTAATAGTCAACGGGAGCATTTAGCTAAATACGCAGCAAGCACAGCGATCTGCCCCGTCAAGACCCGGTGCCGGGATCAAAGTCTTGTTTGCACAGCGTGAGGACAGCTCCGAAATACCGCTCATTCTAGTTCTGGTCGCCCTGGGTGTTCCTTGTGTTGGCGTTAAGGGTTTCCACCTGCCCAACCTCTGGGGCGATCGCAGGGACGTGGTGGGGGGAAATGTACATCCTGCGACATAAGCAGCCCCTTTTGGAAACTCCCGCCCGAGAAGTTTGCAAAGAGGCGATGAAGTCCAAGCCGTCCCATATACACTCACTAGCACCCCATCCCGCCCCCCACAGCACCCCACCCTGAACGTGCACTCTCCAGACCTGGGCAACACTGCCCAGCAGCGTCACCGTGCCGAGGGCTTGCACGCGTGGAGAGCGCGTGGCGAGGGGCAAGGTGCGGGTGCGGGGTCTCTCTTTCCCTATTGCGCTGGTACCGTACCTGGAAATGCTTGAAGAAGGCAGATATGCGAGTGATCTGCAGGCTCAGGCACCTGGAGGTGCATCTGGCTCTGTAGACACTGACAGTGGAGAAAGACTCGTCCTGCTTGCGAGCAGCAGCAACCCCGGCAGCTGCAGCCAGGCAGCCCCAGGAAGCCGTAATCCAAAGGAAAAGGGTCAGAGACACGGCGGGATCCTTTAGCACCATCGCTGTGCGGTGGGTGGGTGCTGAGGAGAGGAAGGGGGTGCCGCAGAGAGCAAGAGACGTCCGGAAAAGCTCCAGTGCACCGATCTGGTGCTGGACTGGACTGGGGGGGAAACCTCAGCGCTGCAGAAACTAAACAAGAAAGTTCAATCATTCAACTCTCTTCACCCCCCCCCCCTTCCTCTCCTCCGACCTCCCCTCCCCAGCACACACCCCTCCCCTTACTCCCAGGAGGGGGTGGGGTGAGGGTGACAGCAGGCTGTGCCATTGGCTGCAAGAAATGGGAGTGACAGCAGAGCCGGGCTGCCTGACCGCAGGCAGGGGACAGAGAATGCGGGGGAGCTGGTGAACTTCTCCGAGGTCCCCTGGACACATACTGTATACACCCTGGGCTGCTGCAACACATTGGCACACAGACCCTGCACAGTAACCTTGTCCCCCCCTCTCCTTTACATGACTAGCACTCATCCCTGCCTACACGGACCCTCAGCTGTTCCTACATAGACACCCCAAACACAGACACCCCTAGTGCACATGCAAACAGACTCAGGCATTCCTAAACACACACACACACACACGGCTTGACAATGCCAGGTGCTGAGCCCTGTTAGCTCCCACGGACATCGCAGGGTATTGAAGACACGTAGCAATTGCCTGCCGGATCTGGCCCTTAAACAGGTACACCTACGTGTCCTCGGATACAAACATGCCTAATGCACCTAGGCAAACACAACCACAGACATCCACAGCCAGACTAAGGCATATAGACCTAAATGGACACACCCAGTATGGACCCAGACGCGCACATCTTGCATACCCTGGGGTTTGTTGATTTTTCACTGTCAAAACTCATATTTACTTTGTTCTATTGTTAAGAGTATTGCTGTGTCCATATGCCTTATTTTTACTTACGAACTCAGATATATTCATTCATAAATGTAAATAAATTTGAGAAATTCAGCTAATGGACAATTCCTCTAAGTCTTCTCTTTGTTAAGGTCTAAAAAAGTGTAGTGAAATTGAAGCTTGGGGTTTACTGAAGACTGGGAGTTTTCCCATAGTAAAATCCCAAGTCAGTGCTAACCATTTGTTCCAGGCTGGAGCATGCATAAAATCTCAGCCCATAAAATCTCATCCTAGTGTTTTATTTAAAAATTAATTTTTATAAGTCATTAGTCCAGTGCCTTTAGGTAATAACTACAAAATTAAAATGATTAACATCTTGCACTTTTTAAAATAAAATAGCTAAAATACACATACAACAACTATTCTCTCTGGGGTTTTTTGTTTAGTTTGTGTATTGACAGTGCATGCACACAGTACAAAGCACATTATGCATTAATTTTAAAATACTGTATGTAAACTCCGATTGCTGCAATAAATCATATGAATAGAAGGAGCAAATGTATTCTTTCCTAACTGTAGTCTGTGGATTAAATCTCCCAAACTAGGTGATCGCAAGCTTGTATCACTTGACAGAGCTGAGATTTGGGGCCATTACAGGAGGTGTAAATATGTCTGCTGTCAAAATAATTTATAGATTATTATGTCAATGATCTACAGGCTGTTGGAGTCTCTTTTGCTGAATATATTTTAAAATGCAGCTAAATACACATTGGAAAAATCTCCTTCAATCAAATCAATATATAACAAGGGCTGTGAATGATCTCACTTATACTAATTTTACACCAGTGTAACGCTGCTCTCCTCACCCCTAGATTGACACCAGCATAATGTAAGCAAAAAGCCCAAGGAGGTTATTCTCCCCTGAACATGTGCGGGCAACTTCCATTGTTCACAGCAGGCAATACACAAGTATATCAAGGGAGAATCAAACCCTAAAGACTGTTGTTAAGCCTATGAACCAAGGACATTGTTAAGCCTAAAGCAAGGACATTCATATCTAATGTTATAATCTGGTGCTGAGTGTGATGTAAGAAATTGAATAGAAGAAAATAGAGCTTGGACTAGGTGTGACAATCCACAGGAATTTGGTAACATTAGACACGAGTTTCAGTCAGTCACTTGCAATATGTAGCTATAATAGGGATGGAGGAAAGTCTTCACTTTTAATTTCTTTTTCTGGTTTGAAGTACTTCTGGATCAAATTCTGCCCTCGGGTCACTGGCAGAAATCTGGGGTAACTCGATAGAAGTCCATGGGCCAAATTCACCCTGTGGGTGGCTGGGGAATAGCAATTACAAATTTCATCTTCCTGTGCCTGAGGGAGCTGCTGTGGCAGAGGGGGACCGGTATGATGGCAGTGCTACCACAACCTACCGAAAGGGGTTCTGCAAGGGAGGGAAAGTTTAAAAACAAATCAGTGCAATGTGCCATTGGGGTATATCTACACGGCAATAAAAAACCTGTGGCACCAAGTCTCAGCTCCAGGGTCAATTGATTCAGTCTCCCCGGGCTCTGGCTGTGGGGTTAAAAATTGAAATGTAGGCTTTCGGGCTCGGGTAGCAGCCCAGGCTCTGGGACCCTCCACCCTCACAAAGTCCCAGATCTCAGGATCCAACTGGAGCCCAAACCTCTACACAGCAATTTTTCAGGCCGACAGCCTGAGACTGAGTCAGCTGACTTGGGCCAACCACGGGTTTTTTATCCCCATATAGATGTAACCTGCAACCCACCCTCCTTGCCGGGTTTCAGAGACTGAGCTCCAGCCTGAGCCCAGATGTCTACAATGCAATTGTTAGCCCAGCAGCCCAAAGCTCGCAAGCCCAACTCAGCTGACCCAGGACAGCCATGGCAGTGTAGATATACCCTAGAAGTCCTGAAATGGAGGATACTTTAGAGATGCACTAAGTAAGCTCTGGAGCTGTCCCAACTACCTCTCCAGAAGACTCCATGCACTTTGCAAGCTATGATCGCCAGCCCTGATCCCCTCAGCTGAGTGAAGGCTGTTGGTGGCTTGTAAACTGTGCCCCACTTCTAGTAGACTTCCTATCACTGGGGGCCAACAGCCTGGGATCTACTAGCAACAGTTGGTGGAATCCACTGAATCAACATGCACGATGGAATCTGGCCCAATCTGGCATCCCAATAGTAATAAAAAAATCATCCCTATTATAGAAATCATGGCTGCTAAAGTCTGGAGCTACAGCCTTACTAGTCAGAGGTGGCCTGGGTCTGCCTATCCAATTCAGGAAATGTCTGTTTCTGACCCATTTAGTCTGTTTTAGGCTTGACTAAGAATTCTGCAATTCCTCCGTGACACCCCAAGTCTAGAAGGGAACAGGCAATTGACAAAACCCATTACTCTTGACTGATTAATTATGTTTACAAGCATACCAAATGCTTTCAACTTTTGCCATAATTTTATTAAATAATAATGCCTGTCTGAAAAAATCTGCAGCCATCTTTAATAATCGTATTTGGTGCTCAAATACAACAGGTATGGAGGACAGACAGACTTATTCCCAGTGATAGTGGTATTGTACTACTAACCCAATCAATGTTGCATATTAAAACTAAAATAACTACATTAAAGTCCATGAATCCTGCTGGGTTTTTTTTGGTTTTATGAAGATTGGTAGCAAAAGGCACAGAGTCCTTAATCGTTAAAAAGTTTGTGAATACAGTTTATTCAGTTGCTTGTGTTGGAAAGGTCACAGTTACAGAGATCATCAGGGTAGTCTCTGAATTCCTTTTAAGTGAGGCTGAGTTGGTTAGCACACAAAAGAATGGCTGTTCAATGCCACTAAAACCAAATTCACACAGGACATGTTTCCCTTACAAGGAGATTAAGAAACTAAAGAAACTCAGGCTCTGTAATTCAAACACTTGGTAAACAAGGTTGGGAGTCAAAAACCTGTAAGGACTAAATATATACCTGATCGTTAGAGAGAGATTACATACACATATACATGTAAATATATGAATGTGTGTGTCTGTGTGTTATAGGGAGGAAGTTTACTAAGTTTCTTCATAGAACATGAGATTTGGAAACTTCTGAAGTAAACAAGAGATTGTTTTAATTTATTAAACACACACAGCTTTCAGACATCCCATGGAATAAAATTAGTAATTTGTTAAAACAAACAAGACTTTCCTTTTGGATGAATTTTTCTGCTGACTACTGCTAACCACTGTTAAATTTCTGCTTTTAAAAATCCTTTTTCTTGTGAATTGTGTAACTTTGATGCAGTACACTTCTTTTCCTTTTCCACAATCTAAAATATATTGATCTGTTTTTGTTTACTTGTTTTTTGTTTTTGGTTCGTTTCTTTTGATTATTTTATTCTCAGAATTGTTGGGTTTCTTTCCCCCCAATACACTAAAAAAAGTCATCAGTCAACATTAAAAACATTAAAAACTCAAGCAAAAAATAATCCTTAAAAGCATAAAGCATTGACCTCATGCTACTATAAAAACACAATTAGTCCTTCTTCAGTGTTGTGCTGTGACATTTACAGCTGGCAATGTAAACACTAGCTCTCCTGAAGACCAGCTTCGTGAAAGTCAGGGCTGTTTTTTAACAGGAGACAGCGCCACACACTGGTTATGTGAAGTGAGATCTGCAAGTGACTAATAAAACGTTATATTGTACAGAATTAATCTGATTTTATGAGTTGCTTTTCATCAATTTTAAATAAACCTGAATGCCTCTTAAGTAATTATGTCTTACTATCTAATAATTCTGACATTAAATACCATGCCCAGTTGGGCAAATAAAGATGATATTGTTTACTTTAACAGTATTTGCTGTTTAAATATGGAGTACCAGTATTCACTGATTTGATTTATTATATTAAAGGCCCTGTTCCTGCAGTCTTTACTCAAGCAAAATTCCCATCAGCTTCAATGATGTTACAAACAGAATAATATGATTTAAGGTCAGATAAACAAAATACACTATAGAAGTTCTTAAAAACAGCTCATTTACAACCATATTTTCCATATAATAAAAACAGAGAAAGCCAAATAGAAAATATAATATATATAGTCAGTATCATCTCTAAACCAAATGTTTTCCATAGTTTTCCCTATAGTTGTCAAAAGATCTTTCTCAGATAAAAACAATTATTTATTTAATGTAATAACAAAACT